GAAATGACAACAGTATTAATGGTAATATAAAGAGCAGTAAGAACTGTATGATGGTGTAGATCTTGGCCGGGGGGCGTCCCTCCCAGAGCTCTCGGCAACTATCGTATGTCTCGTCGCCATAAGTGAAGGGCACGGTTCGCGCCTCAATCAGTAGTGGACTCGCGATTGTCATACCAGTGATCCATATAATGATGATTATAGTCATTGTTCGCGATTCAAGCCATGAGAGCGAGTAAAACGGATGAACTATTGCTAAATACCTGGATACATTTAAATTAGTATAATATTGCATAGATCAACAAAAATAGATGACTACTACTGATAGTTTAAATATTAAATAAATGTGGTTTTATTTTTTAAAATATTATTTAATATTTTAATTGCATATAGATTACTAATATAATAAATATTAATTAAATGATACTCTAGTTTTAAAAATATTACATAATATCTTAATTACATACATTAACAAAAATAAATAAATGCTAATTATAGTTTAAATATTCAATAAATGACATTTTATTTTTGAAAAATTATTTATTAATTAAACTTGACTAATATTATTTAATAATTATACTTGATTCTATTAATTTGCTAATTACTTTGTCGGCATTAAATTAAAAGAGTAATATACTAAGTATTAACAGTAGTAATATTTGTATTAATATTTAATATGCATAAGTAATATATATAATTATTACAAAACATTATGTTAAATAGGATTGAACTTCTAAAATTAAATAAATAATTTCACTTATCATGCATTAAATGTAATAATGATATACGAAGCAAATAATCAAATTTATGATTTACATTATTTTAAAATCAATATTGAATGTATAAATTTACATAATAAATACATTTCGTGTAACTATATGAACAACGCCGCTATACACACTGTATATTCTACAGTATATACCAGAGGCGCACAGATATGACCGTTTGCGGCCAACTAGCGATGTATGCATTTAATATATTAATACTATATTTACAACACTAGTATTTTATGAATCAGGAATTATACATTAATATTAATAATAACTTTTCAAATTGATATTAATTTTTATTACTCATTGCAAGGTATAACTTTGGATATAAATTATGTGTCAATGCATTACTATATAATATTTCTAAACAAAGTGATAAATCATTGAAAGTTTACTTATTCTCTCAAATATTTTTATGGTTTGTTTTTTAAACTTTAAAATCACTTTGAATAACATTTTGTTGTTTCATAAATTTTCATATTATTATTTAAAATGAAAATTATGTTTTCAAAACAAATCTTAGTCACTTTTAATTCATAAAATAGTAGTGTTTGGAATAGTTAATAAGTTTATTAATATTTTAAAACACTAATTTGGGGATTTAAAATTTTTTGAACGTCTATGGTATATACCTTTCTTAATTTAAAAATTAATTCAATATTCAAATAAATGCTAAATTTTATAATCATTTTATGGATTTTAAAAGTTTCATTAATTCTTTCTTTTATGAGTTCTCTATTCCCACATCAGAAACGATATAATATTTTTAAAAGTCTTTCTAAGAGCACTTAAAAGTGATATTTAAATATGTCCAACCTAATTATGTTATATTCAGTGAATAAATATCAAATTTAATATAGAGTTTTTAAATAAGTTAAAAAGTTGGATTTTGTTTTAAAAACTTTGAATAAAAATTATTCTTATGTTTGCCTAAATATGCAAGCAAATATTGTAGTAAGTCTAAATGTAATTATTTAACAGTCAATATAAATTCTGTAGGCTGAGTTTAAACTGTTTTAAAATTAAATTTAGATATTTGACAAATTTCTCAGTAACTATTTAAATTAATAGCCTAATATAATTATATAAATTTATTTAGAAATATAAAACGTATCCATTTAGATGATTAAATTAAGAAATAACTTAGCCAACACATTTTCTTTTAAACCCAAAATACTGTAAAAACCTTTTGACGTGTAGTAAACCTCACTGTAAGTAGAATTTATGCATTGCTTTACTATAGCCTATAGTCTATAGGTTTAAGATTAAAAATCTTCTGCTTTAATTGGTAAAAGGTATTTTTAGTTAATTTTAATTACATATGTATATAAAAGTTAATTAAAGGAATTGATATAAAAGTGGTGATTATCAAATATTCGTAGAAATTTTAACATTAAAAGCTGAGATTATTCATTCAAGTTATGTATTAGTTTGAAATTGAATTAAGTATTATGCTAGCTCCATTTGGTGTGTCAGTAATATGTAATATACCAATATTATACTAAATTTTTTGATTGGGACTTTAATACACTTCAAATATATGAAATTGAACATTTTAGAATCTGTTTTAATATAATATTTTTCAAATAAATATCTATACATATGTTATATATGTTAGTCAATATATGTTATACATAATATATAACAGTACTCTTGATAAAATTTGCAATTTTATATTTTAATGAACGTTTAAATTAGGTAATATTTACGGAAAGCTTATGAAAACACAAAATCATGTCAATTTTCAAAAGGTATTCAATGATAGTACAGTACAATGTTTTAAGAGTTTGTATCACGTAATTAGCAATATTTCCTCAAAAAATAAGTTTGTCTTAATTGGAGGTAAATATAATGTAATGTAATCAATATTATACTTAAACAATGGGTCGATTTAAGTCCAAAATGTTTGATAACATCAGTATAGGATTATTAAATTTTAATAATATTTAAATAATTTATTTAAAATTTTATTGGTCAGTACAAATTAATCATTACAAAGTATAATTCTTTAGCTTTAATACCACATGGTTTAAGCTAATAAATAATAAGCATTGAAAGTACTAATTAGTGTGCTATTTTAATAACGAATTTAACATATTTTTCTAAAAGTTTAATTACAAAACCTTGCTTAATAAACATGATTACTTGAATTTATTTTATCTGATGAATAGAGTATAATGTAAAGTACAACAATATACTGCTTTCAAATCTTCTTACATATATTCAAGTAATACAAATAAATCTGGGATTAATAAGTCAGTGAAATGTTAATAAATGTTAATGTATACGGTATATACAGTACAATATTCAGAATATTATAGCTAATACCTTGATTTAATTTCAATACTAAAATAAGCAGAACAACCACTAACTTAGAAAGGACTATACAGTCTAGACTTAAATAATGAATTCAATGAACCATACCTCCCAAAGCCAATGCCAACCAATGTATAAATGTTAACGAAAACAGCAGTAGTGGTGATAAAGTTATATACGGGACACATAAAGCTCGGGAATAGCCATCGACCGTACATGAAGTCGGTGTATGAGAAGGGTATGGAAAACACAGCCAGAAGTATGTCAACAATGGCTAAGTTTGATAAGTATTTCTTCAGCTCAGATGAGGTCCTCTTTGTCACAAAAATGACTATTAATGTGAATATATTGAGAACCAGTGCCAGCAGTGCCGTCAGTA